TCGAACGTGCAACCCCATGCGGGCGCTGCCACTGGGGCCTTCGGTGGGGCTTCCTGTGGGGCCCCGAAGCATGTGAGGGGCGTGCCGACCTGGGAGTGAAACTCCATGCGGGCGCTGCCACCTGGGGCCTTCGGCGGGGACCCCTGCGGGGCCACAGGAGGGCGGAACTGCCGGCGGGCGCTGCCACTGGGGCCTTCGGTGGGGCCACGAGACGTGCGAGTGTGGCACCGACACGGGGCCGAACCTGCGTGCGGGCGCTGCCGCTGGGGCCTTCGGTGGGGCCCCCTGTGGGGCCACGAAGCGTGCGAGGGGTGTCCCGAAAGGAGGCTGGAACCGCATGCGGGCGCTGCCAGTGGGGCCTTCGGTAGGGCCCCCTGTGGGGCCACGAAGCGTGTGAGGGGTGTGCCGAAAGGAGGCTGGAACCGCATGCGGGCGCCGCCGCTGGGGCCTTCGGTGGAGCTTCCTACGGGGCCACGAAACGCGTGAGGGGTGCGCCGAAAGGAGGCTGGAACTGCATGCGGGCGCTGCCACTGGGGCCTTCGGTAGGGCCCCCTGTGGGGCCACGAAGCGTGAGACGGGTGTCCCGAAAGGAGGCTGGAACCGCATGCGGGCGCTGCCACTTGGGCCTTCGGTGGAGCTTCCTATGGGGCCACGAAGCGTGTGAGGGGTGTCCCCAAAGGAGGCGCATGCGGGCGCTGCCACTGGGGCCTTCGGTGGGGCTTCCTGTGGGGCCCCGAAGCGTGAGAGGGGTGTGCCGAAAGGAGGCTGGAACCGCATGCGGGCGCCGCCACTGGGGCCTTCGGTAGGGCCCCCTGTGGGGCCACGAAGCGTGAGAGGGGTGTGCCGAAAGGAGGCTGGAACCGCATGCGGGCACTGCCACTGGGGCCTTCGGTAGGGCCCCCTGTGGGGCCACGAAGCGTGTGAGGGGTGTCCCGAAAGGAGGCTGGAACCGCATGCGGGCGCTGCCACTTGGGCCTTCGGTGGAGCTTCCTATGGGGCCACGAAGCGTGTGAGGGGTGTCCCGAAAGGAGGCTGGAACCGCATGCGGGCGCCGCCACTGGGGCCTTCGGTAGGGCCCCCTGTGGGGCCACGAAGCGTGTGAGGGGTGTCCCGAAAGGAGGCTGGAACCGCATGCGGGCGCTGCCACTTGGGCCTTCGGTGGAGCTTCCTATGGGGCCACGAAGCGTGTGAGGGGTGTCCCGAAAGGAGGCTGGAACCGCATGCGGGCGCCGCCACTGGGGCCTTCGGTGGGGCTTCCTATGGGGCCACGAAACGTGTGAGGGGTGTCCCGAAAGGGAGGGTGAAACCGCATGCGGGCGCTGCCACTGGGGCCTTCGTTGGAGCTTCCTATGGAGCTACGGAACGTGTGAGAGGTGTGCCGAAATGGAGGGTAGAACCGCATGCGGACGTTGCCCCTGGAGCCTTCGGTGGGGGCCCCTTTATGGGGCCATGGAACGTGTGAAGGGTGTGCCGAAATAGATAGTAGAACCGCATACGGGCGCTGCCACTGGTGCCTTCGGTGGAGCTCCCTATGACGCCACGAAACGTGTGAGGGGTGTGCCGAAATGGATGGTGGAACTGCATGCGGGCGCTGCCATTGAGGCCTTCGGTGGAGCTTCCTACGGGGCCACGAAACGTGTGAGGGGTGTGCCGAAATGGATGGTGGAACTGCATGGTGGCGCTTCCACCGGAGCCTTCGGTGGATCCCTATGGGGCCACGAAACGTTTGAGGGGTGCGCCGAATGGAAGGTGAAACCGCATGCGGGCGCTGCCACTGAGGCCTTCGGTGGAGCTTCCAATGAGGCCACGAAGCGTGAGAGGCGTGCCGAAATGGGGTGGAACTGCATGCGGACGCTGCACCTGGAGCCTTCGGTGGAGCTCCCAATGAGGCAACGAAACATGTGAGGGGTGTACCGAAATGGTGATGAAACTGCATGCGCGCGCTGCCACTGGGGCCTTCGGTGGGGCCCCCCACGGGGCCAAGTTGGTGGAACTGCATGCGGGCGCTGCCACTGGGGCCTTCAATGGGGCCCCCTATGGGGCCGGGAAACGTGTGAGCGGTGCACCGAAATGAGAATGGGCGCTGCCGCTGGAACAGTCGGTGAATCCCCTCTGGAGCCACGAACCGTGTGACGGGTGTGCCGAAATGGAGGGTGGAACTACATGCGGGTGCTGCCACTTGGGCCTTCGGTGGAGCCCCCTAATGGGGCCACGAAACGTGTGAGGGGGTGCACCGGCATGGAGGTGGATCTGCATGCGGGCGCTGCCACTGGGGCCTTCGGTGGAGCTCTTTATGTGGCCACGAAACGTGGGAGGCTATTCCGAAATGAGGGCAGAGGCACGGATGGGAGGCGGGAGGAGATGGGAGGAGGGAGGAGGGGGAGGGGGGGGAGGCGAGGAGCGAAAACGCGGGCCCAACACCCCAGGATGGTTGGGGAAAAATCCAACCAGCAACCCCAGAAGACACCAAAGATGGTCCACAACGGCCCACCAGACTTGCAACGACCGCAAACCTCCAGAAAGCGCGTACGAGCCATTCAAAAATCCACCCACCCTGTCGGCGCCCCAAGATCGCCCAAGAGGCCTCCAAGAGGGCCCCAAAACGACCCGGAGGCCCAGAACCGCCCAGGAGCCCCGAGCCGCCCACGGAGGCCCCCCAAGGCGGCTGCTCCAGAGGGAGAGCTCCGGCAGGGGACCCGAGCGGGCATTTCGAGCCCTCGGCCCGAGAGGCTCCCAGGAGGCCCCGAGGAGGAGGCGGAGGAAGGGGAGGAGGAGGAAGGGAAGGAGGGAGGAGAGGAGAGGAGGAGGAGGCGGAGGAGGAGGAGGAGGAGGAGGAGGAGGAGGAGAGACAGCCCCCCAAGAAGCCCCAAGAGGCCCTCACGACGCTCCCAAGAGGCCCCCTAAGAGCCTCCCAGGAGGCCCCAAAACTACCCCCAAGAGGCCCCCGAGAGCGCTCGTCGTCATCGTCGTCGTCGTCACCGTCGTCGCCGCCGTCAGTGTCGTCGTCGTTGTCGTCGTCGTCGTCGTCGTCGTCGTTCAGGGTCGGCGGTGGTGGATAGGTGGGTTCGCTGGCACATAACGTAACACATCTGTGCCTGGGCGCCTGAGTTGCTACTGATGCTGGGAGCAGTGCTGCGGTTGCTAGTGCTGCTGTTGACGCTGCGACGATGCTGCTACTGATGTTGCGATGATGCTGGCGCCGTCTTGGAATGCCTAAAAAGAGGTAAGGATAGCTAGCTTTAGCATGTAGACAGGGGTCTGCTAGAGGCGAAAAGGCGCAGCGTATGGGATTGCTGGAAATTGCCACGAAGAGCGGACGTAGCGCCTGCGCGCACCACAAAGCGCGCATACACCACAATGCTTGAATAAACCACATATGCTGCTGCAGCTACATGTGTGTGCCTCCCCTCCGTCGTAACTGCACGCTGCCACGCATCCCTGATAAGGGCAACTCGCCAGGGGAATGTTTTTGGATGGGCCGGTGGGGACACGCGAAGCGTCATGAACGGATCCACAGTGCGTGTGCCGGATCAGTGGAGACCACGAATTCTGAAAATAAAACAGCACAGCACAGCAGAGGATTACAGTGGAGGTCAGTCCACAAGAAGCCTTCCAAAAGAAGCCCGACCCTGAGGCCCCAGGGCCTCCATCGATTTCTGGTATGGGAACGTCACGCTCTCCATCGCAGCACCATCGAGACCCGAGAAACCCAGGGCACCCTGGAGGCAAGCAGGGTGTTGCTTGACATGGGTCTCCACTGTTGAAGACAATAACAAGGTGGAGGAGGAGGAGGAGGAGAAGTAGGAAGAGGAGAGGAGGAGAAGGAGGAGGAGGAGAAGTAGGAGGAGGAGGAGGGGAAGGAGGAGGAGGAGGAGGAGGAGGAGGAGGAGGAGAAGGAGGAGTAGGAGGAGGAGGAGGAGGAGGAGGAGGAGGAGGAGGAGGAGGATTGCCGCTGGAGCGCGTGCACGCGAGCCCGGCTCGTGGAGAGGGGCGGGAGGGCTGCCCGAAGGGGCGAGGCTCGGCTCGATGGCGGCTCCCCCCCTGGAGTGCCCAAGTGCTACCGTGGGGGCTCCACCACAAGAAACCTTCCACGAGAAACCCAACCTGACTACCTACCAGACCACCCCAACCCAACCCGAAGACCCGAATTTGACCCGAATTTCGGGTTGGTGGGGGTACGGGTTCCATGTGTTTGTTCAACGTTCCCCGACCCCCCCCCACTGGAAATGGAAGCCAAATTGAAGCCTTCAGGTTGGGTTGGGGTGGTTTGGTAGGTGGTGACAACCCTGAGATCCCAGGACGTCCACCGATTTTTGGTGTGGGAGCGCACGCTTTCCGTAGCAAGACCATCGAAAGGCAAGAAACCCGGAACACCCCGGAGAGGGGTCGAGACGAGACGAGACGCCGAGGGCGCCAGCCATACTGAAACCAGCAAACCGCCTGAGACGTCCGCACAAGCTGCTCCGAGAGCAGACGGGTCCAAGCCAACAAACAGGCAAACCGTCTGAGACATCCCCTCAATCTGGTCGCGAACGGGCAGGTCCGTGATCCCGCTTGAGATGCTGGAACCAGCGCCTCGCTCGAGACATTCTCACACATTGAGTGCGAGGCGAGCCTGAGTGTAAGTGGTCCGTGTGAGTGAGTCCGAATATGAGTGACTCTGAGTGTAAGTGACTCTGAATGTGTATGAGTCTGAGTATGAGTGTATCTGAGTCTGCGTGCATCTGACTGAGTATGAGTGGTCTGTGTGAGTTAGTCCGAGTGGGAGTCTCAGCATGAGCGAGTCAAAGTATGACTGAGTCTGCGAGTGAGTCTGAGTATGAGTGAGGAGGGGGAGGATTAGTGGGGGCGGAGGAAGGTGTGGGATGTGAATATGAGGCGTCTGAGTACAAATCATAACCCCATCTTAGGATATGGGTAGAAACGTGGATCCTAAATGAAAACTATCCTGCCATCTCTGTGGCTGCACTGGCGAGCCGCGCTCCGCTTGGCGAGGGCTCATGGGTGCCAGGATAAAAAAGGAGGAGCAGAACGACGAGGGCGACGACGACGACGACGACAACGACGACGATGACGAGGACAAACAAGAGGAGCAGCAGACAGAAGTGCCGTGCGCTTCCCCACACCAAATGCGAAACCAGTGCTGCGCCACGGTCACTGGCCAGAGGTCGAAGCCGCGGTCAGAACGACACCTCGCTGACGCCGATGCTCGGCCCGTCCGGCGGCAGTGGCCTGGAGGACGGCAGCAATCTGGGTGGCGCTCTGGAACTGGACCCGGCCCAGCACTCTGGCGGCTCGACTGGGATGCCGAGCCGCCCCGAGCGGCGCTGCGCGCGGCGGCGCCGCCTCCGCGTGCGCGGAGAGCCCTTCTGGCAGGCTCGAGGCCTGGTCTGCCGAGCTGGCGCCCTCCTCCGAGCCCAACGTTTGATGGGCTGATGTTTCCGCCACGGCTACCATAGGTAGGAGGACGGTGAGGCGGAGGAGGAGGAGGAGGAGCAGCAGGAGAAGAAGGAGAAGGAGGAGGAAGACCTCCCCATCCTCCTTCCTCCCCCGCCCTGCCTTTGGCAGTAGTGGTGGGACACCGGCCCATCAACATTCTCACACATTGAGTGCGAGGCGAGCCTGAGTGTAAGTGGTCCGTGTGAGTGAGTCCGAATATGAGTGACTCTGAGTGTAAGTGACTCTGAATGTGTATGAGTCTGAGTATGAGCGTATCTGAGTCTGAGTGCATCTGACTGAGTACTAGCCGGCCGCTCTGCGGTTGATCGGGAGTTTCTGTATATAGAAGAAGGTGCGTGCGCTTGTTGGCGAGGGTGATGAGGTTCCTCCTCCTCCTCCTCCTCCTCCTCCTCCTCCTCCTCCTCCTCCTCCTCATCCTCCTCCATCCTTCTCTTGCCTCCGTCTGTCCTCCTCCACCCCGCAGCTCCATCATCTTCTCCTCCTCCTCCTCCTCCTCCTCCTCCTCCTCCTCCTCCTCTCCTCCTCCTCCTCCTCCTCCTCCTCCTCCTCCTCCTCCCCCCCCTCCTCCTCCTCTCCTCCTCCTCCTCCCTCCTCCTCCTCCTCCTCCTCCTCCTCCTCCTCTCCTAATCCTCCTCCTCCTCCTCCTCCTCTCCTCCTCCTCCTCCTCCTCCTCCTCCTCCTCATTTCTCCTTCTGGGCCTCTCCCCGGGGCGCGGATCACCGATCTGTCCGGATCTGTCCGGAAACGTGCGTGCCGCTCTTTCGGCCTCCTCTTGGGCACCTCCCCGGGGCCGGTTTTGTGAGGCGTCTCAAGCGGGCGCCGTTTGGGATTAGTCACCGATCCCACCGGATCCACCGGATCTGTCCGGAAACGGTGCCGGAGGCCGCTCTGGGCTCCTGTGGGCACCACCCCCGGGGCCGGTTTTGTGAGGATGTCTCAAGCGAGGGCGCCGGTTTGGGATTCGTCGGCGGATCCACCGGATCCACCGGATCTGTCCGGAAACGGTGCCGGAGGCCGCTCTGGGCTCCTCTGGGCACCTCCCCCGGAGCCGGTTTTGTGAGGATGTCTCAAGCGAGGGCGCCGGTTTTGGATTCGTCGGCGGATCCACCGGATCCACCGGATC